AGCCCCTCAGCATAGGATTGGAGTCTTACTGGTCTGGACAGCTTAAGGAAATCTCTGTCTAATCATCAATTGACCACTAAGCTAATGCAACAGTGACTCACTTGGTAGGCACATGTTAAAAAGAACATAGACTTCTCAAAGTTAGTCTGGGAAAGTCATTATAATTACAGGTTGAACTGTCTCCCCCCAAAATGTTCATATTGGAGTCCTTACTCTTAGTATCTCATAATGTGAATGTATTTAAAGATAGGGTTTTTTTTTTTAATATTTTTTTAGGGGCTGGGGATGTGGCTCAAGCAGTAGCGCGCTGGCCTGGCATGTGTGCGGCCCGGGTTCGATCCTCAGACCCACATACAAAACAAGGAAGTTATGTCCGCCAAAAACTAAAAAAATTAATATTAAAAAAAATATATATTTTTTTTAGTTGTCAATGGAGCTTTATTTTATTTATTGATACGTGGTGCTCAGATTCAAACCCAGAGCCTCACACATGCTAGGCAAGCACTCTGCCACTGAGCCACAATTCCAGACACTTAAAGATAGGGTCTTTACAGAGGTAATCATGTGACACAAAACAAGGTCACTAGGGTAAGCCCTAATCCAATATGACTTGTGTCCTTATTTAGAGACAAACATGCCTCCAAGGAGAAAGACATGAACATGAAGACAGCCATCTCCAAACCAAAAGAAAGGCCTTCCCTCACAGCCCTTGAAAGAACTAACTGGTCTGACATTTTGATTTTGGACTTCTAGCATCCAGAACTATAAGACAATAAATTATTGTTGTTTAAGTCACCTGTTTTGTTATATTTTGTTACAGTAGTCCTAGCAAACTAATATGGTCACCAAATAGATAGCAACAATAATAAACAGCATAAACAATAAACTTTGGGGAGGGGTAGGAATCTGATTTTCAGAGTTGCCACATATTATTTTAAATGGCAAGACATGCAAAAAAATAATAAAGTATATATAGTCCACATGTTGGGGCGAGGGGCGGAGGGGAAGTTAATACAAACTATCCCTAAGAAAGTTGGAAATCACCAAAGACTTTAAATCACCTATAAAAAACTCAAACTAAAAGAAATCCTGTCTAAAGAATTAAAGATGGACCTGGAAAATATATCATGATAAGCAAAATAAGCCAATCCCAAAAAATGAAGACCAAATGTTTTCTCTGATATGCAGACTCACAATGGTGGTGGTGGTGGGGTGCTAAGAAAAAATAGAGGAACTTTGAATTAGGCAAAGGGGAATAAAGGCAGGGGAGAGAGTATCGGGGTAGGAAGAACAGTAGAATGAATCAGACATTATTACACAATGTACATATAAGATTATATGACCAGTATGATTATACAACCAGAAGAATGAGAAGTTATACTCCATTTATGTATGATGTGTCAAATTGCATTCTACTGTCATGTATAAGTAATTAGAACAAATAAAAAGAACTAAGCCGGCACAGTGGCACACGCCTATAATCCCAATGGCTTAGGAGGCCAAGACAGGAAGATGGCAAGTTCAAAGCTTGCCTCAGCAATGGCAAGGTGCTGAGCAACTCAGTGAGACCTTGTCTCTAAATAAAATACAAAATAGTGACTTAGTGGTTAAGTGACCCTGAGTTCAATCGCAAGTACCAAAAAAATTTTTTTTAAAAATTTAAATAAAAATAAAAAGAGCTACAGATGTGACTGGAAATTAAAGTATCTCTGAGTTTTAGTATTGTTAAAAAACAAAAAAAAAAAAGAAAGAAAGAAAAGGAAGACTTACAGCTTCATTAGGCAAAGAGTTCTTATAGTCTGCATCTGAATATTGGTTTTCTTTCTAGCTGTGTAACCTTGGTCAAGTTACTTAATTTCACTAAAAATTTTAGGTTTTTTTTTTGTTGTTGTTGTTGTTGGGCAGGGGGGATACTGCAGATTGAACCTGGGGGGTGCTTAACCACTAAGCCACATCCCCAGCCCTTTTATCTATCTATCTATCTATCTATCTATCTATCTATCTATTTGAGACAGGATCTCCCTAAGTTGCTGAGGCTGGCCTCAGACTTGAGATCCTCATGCCTCAGCCTCTCATCCTCTGGGATTACTGCAGTACTATAATCAGCTTAAAATTTTAGTTTTTTGATCTGTAAAATAGCAATGTTACGGTAAAACAATGATGAAATATTAATAAAGCTTGTACAAGAAGGCTGAAAAAAAAGGGGGCAATTTAAGAATATGTTGCAATGGGGCTGGCATTGTGGCTCAGTGGCAGAGCACTTGCCTGGCATGTGTGGGGTCCTGGGTTCGATCCTCAGCACCACATATAAATCAATCAAATATTGTGTCCAACTACAACTAAAAAATAAATAAATAAAAAAGAATATGTTGCAAAATACAGAATATCAATAAAGAGAAACTGGAGGTGTAGCACAATGGCTAAGCACCTGCACAGCATCATGCCCTGGGTTCAATCCCCAACACTGCTAAAAGAGAGAGAGAGAGAGAGAGAGAATGAATTATGAAATAGTCACTAGAGAAGTTCCCCAGGAGATTCAGACAGGCAAAAGAAAGATCAGCAAACTTACAAATAGATCAATTGAGGTTATCCAGTCCGAAGAACAGAAAGAAAAAAAGGAATGAAGAAAAATAGATTCAGAAACCTGTGGAATAATTTACTATTAGATATAACAATTTACATTGATTAGAGTTCTAGAAAGCAGGGAAATAAAACAGCAAAAAGAATATTTGAGGAAACAGTAGCTGAAACTTCCCAAGTTGAATGAAAAACTTTCATTTACGCATCAAAGAAGCTCAACTTAAACAAATCCACACCTAGACACATCTGCTGAAGGTCAAAGAAGAGAATCTCTAAGCATCAAAAAAAGGGATTCAGCAAATACAAGCTAGCTTCAATAAGAGTACCAGAATTTCTCTTCAGAAACCACAAAAGTCAGAGAGCAGTGGATGACAAAAGACTGAAAAGCAAAAAATTTGTTCTAAGCTAGACATGATGATGTATACCTTCAATACAGGGTTCTCTGGAGGCTCAGATCAAGGCCAGCAAGGGCAATATATAAGACCCTGTCTCAAAGTAAAATATTTTTAAAAGGTGTTTTAGAACTGCATTGGTGGTGTGTGAAAAAATAACTTTGAGAGGGCCAACAGAGAGGCCTGATCCCCAGAGGGGCCTGGGGATGTAGCTCAGTGGTGAGAGTAAGCACAAGGTCCTGGGCTCAATCATAGTACCTACTACAATAGGAACAAATTTTTACATGCAATTAAAGTTGGTATTAATCTGAACTAGCTGTTTTAATAGGTTTATATGTTATTAGCATTCCTAGAAAAACCACTAGAAAAATATCTAAAAAAATAGTAAAAGAAGGTACATTAGAAAGTTTTACTTTAAAAAAAAAATGATGGTGGAATGTGATGATCATTATTATCCAAAGTATACATATGAAGACAAGAATTGGTGTAAATATATTTTGTATACAATCAGGAAAAAAAAAAAAAAAGGATATAGGATCTCCAAGTTCAGCTTGTTCCAGAAAGCAAATATTACTCTGATAAGTACACCAGACAAAGACAACACAAGAAAACTATAGACCAATGTTCCTTCTAAATACAGATGCAAAAATCTTTTACAAAATACTAGCAAACCAAGTCCAACAACACGTAAAAATTATATGGTACGACAAAGTGGAATTTATCAAGAATACAAAGTTGGTTTAATATATAAAACTCAATGTAATACACCATACTAAGATAAACCATAATAAAATAAAAAATAAAACCACATGATCACCTATCTCAATAGAAGTAGAAAGGCATCTAACAAACTCCAAAAAATTCTCAGCCGGGACTTGGGATATAGCTCAGCAGTAAAGCACCTGCCTAGCAAGCACAAGGCCTTTGGTTTGATTCCCCAGTACTACCAAAAACAGAAAGAAAATACTCAGTAGTAAATTGGATGTGGTGGCACATGTTTATAATCCCAGCTACTCTGGAGGCTGAGGTAGACTGATCACTTGAGCCTAGGAGTCCAAGTCCAACCTGGACAACATAGTGAGATTCTGTCTCAAAATAATTAAAAAATTCAGCACAACCATAAATAAAAGGAAGCATCCTCATTCTGATAACCTACAGCTAACAATACAGCATACTAGTGAAGGAAACCAGTCACAAAAGACTACATATGATAAGATTCCATTTTCATGAAATATCTGAAACTAGAAAATTACAAGATCAGAAAGCAAATTAGTGGTTGTCAGGGGCTGAAAAACAAGAACTGGGAGTGACTTGCTAATAGGTTTTGAGTTTCTTTTGAGTGATAAAAATATTCTAAAATTAAACAGTTGTGATGGTGGTCCAACACTGAAAATACAAAAATCCACTGAGTTGTAGTTTTTAAAAGGTAAATATAGAGCTAGGGTTGTGGCTCAGCAGTAGAGCACTCGCATAGCATGTATGAGGCCCTGGGTTCAATCCTCAGCACTACATAAAAATAAATAAAATAAAGGTATTGTGTCCAACTACAATTAAAAAATAAATATTTTTTAAGAAATAAAATAAAAATAAAGCTGTCATAAAAAAAAAGAATCTATCCTACAGAATTTGAAAAGTCCTTGCTAAAAATAACCATAAAATCATATTCACCCTAAAAAGTTTACAACTAGATTTAAACGGTTCTTAAAACATAAAGAACAATCAAAATCTTATAGATTCTACCTCAAAGGTTCATTCCCACCACAGATCTACATTTATAGTGTACACTCAATGTGGCAAAACAAAGGGACAAAAATCTCCAACAAAAAATGACAATTTTTCCCTGATTGCACAAAAGACAAGCAAGTTTTCTCTTTTATGAAGTATGAACAATAACCTGGAGGCTGGATGACTAAATCAGGGCACAGAGGACATGGGCACGGCCTGTGGGCAAGCCTCAGATCAGGTCGATAGGGCAGGTGGCTACACTGCAGCCATAACTCTAAACAGAGCAGGACCATAAGAACTCACCTCCAGTTCTTCACTGTCTTTTGGCTTCTCCTCAGAGGTCTGTTTAACAAAATCAGGAATAAGAATTTCCAGTGTGGCTCGGGCTATAAAAAGAAAAAGCCCAAGGGTGAGAGAGTAAACACAGCCCTCTTTCTGGGGCTCTAGCTAAAAGGGAAGCCAGGTACACTGCCTGGCCTATAGAGTGAGTCCTGTGCTAGTTCCCATCTCCACAGCTCAGAGGTGTAAGCAAGAGCCCTGGGGAAGCATTTTAGAGGCAGGGTCAGGATAGGATAAGAAAAAAAGCACATCCTAAGGAAGGGCAATAATGTGACAGGCTACAAGAAGCTTCACAAGCCATACCAAGTGTGTATACTTTTACCATGAAGTTCTCATCACAGGCAAAAGAGGAGTTCGGATGTGTTTTAGAACTGCATTGGTGGTGTGTGAAAAAATAACTTTGAGAGGGCAAACAGAGAGGCATGATAGCAGGCTACTGCAGGTATCCAGAACAGGGTTCAGGGCGGTGGCTGCCATGGGCAAGGAAAGGCAACTAGATCTAAAGTACATTCTGGAGAGAATATATACAGGGCTGCTAGCCACCACTGGCTAGGAGAAGTAAGTATAAAAACCCATGTGCTGATGGTTCAGTCTGACCCAGCCAAAGTTCAAATGCCAGCAAGACATTGCAGCAAAATAAATAAGTAAAAAAGACATTCCAATGCAGATGTCTAGTACTAGAGTCTGGGTGGAGGAAGCAAATACCAGCACTTGGGCAGCAAACAGTGACACTGCCAAGGGGACAGCCCAGACCATATCCCAGAATATTTCCACCCTACACCAGGGCCCATTTGTAGATTATATGCTCAAAACCCTGGTAAAACCAGTTTTAGGTAGAATCTCTCTAACACTGTCAGTAGGCCTTCCTGGTGACTGAAGTGAACAGTGTAAGCCTTGGATCAGCCATGCAGAAGAAATAACAGACAGTAAACACAATGCAGAAAGGTTTCCCATTGTTCTCAGCATTCACCACCACAAAAAAGCAACACAGAGGGACACTCTTGAGTTCTAGAAGCAGAAAAGATTTTCACTGCCCCGAAATCCAGTGAAACTGTACACACTTTCTGCTCTATACAGAGCAGACCTGCTCTGGGAGACAAAATAACAATGGGAGAAACCTCAAGAATACGCCTGTGGATTTAAGGGCTGGGAAGGACAACCAACATTATTCTGCTATGTGTACCTTCCATAGAGGAGGCCAAATAAAACAATATTAAGCAAAATGGCTTTAGTAAAAGAATGCCAATTACTATGAGGGCCAGTAATAGAAGTGAATAGGAAGGACATGGTACAAAACAGGAATGGATTTGAACTAGTATACACCAGTTTTCCAGGAGATAAGATAAGCTGTGTGTAATGAGCACTTACTCCCTACTGTAGTGTCTAAAAAACTCAGGAAATAGGCCCAAAAATGTAAAAACCACTTGAGAATAGTGGCAGCATGCTGATCCGCCTCTTCTCTTTACTGACATGCCCACATTTTGCTCAGTTTCAAAACAAATTTGTTCTACAATATGCACCCAGCATGGCCCAGTTGGCTCTAAAGTATACTCTAACCAGTGCATGGACAGGGCGAGCACAGAAGACACTGGCCCACCTGTCATTTAGCAGAGAGGGAATTTCTGTTCTACTTTCAAGTTTCATACTTTACCCTATTTGAGTCTACTCCAATGAACATATAATATTAAAAATCAAGTAGATGATTACATAAATAATGTCAATGTGCCCCACCCACACACCCACACCTGTTGCCACTGCTCAGCCCCTCCCTTAACATCCCTCCCTTAACAAGGTGAAGGCAAACCCAGCAGGCATCATATGTCTCCAGGACACTGAAGTAAACACATTACCAGCTTTATTCTTCGCAAGTTTTTTGCTGCTTGCAGTTCCAGATCCATAAGTCACACCATCAATGGTCACCGAGGCACCAAAAGGTTCACTTGGGTTCTCTTAAAGTTAAAATTACTTGTTTTAAAACACACTTGCCAAGACATAAAGTATGTACACACACAATCTGCCCACATTGACAGCCATCTCTGCAGAGAGCAAGTCAGCTCATCTGAAAAGATCACAGAATCCCTAAAGTGTAAAGACAGGAATGAGGATGGTCAGGAACAGACAGCACAAATGGGAAAATTGACAGAAATGGAGAACCATGAGAGATTGAGTCAAAGGGGAAGCAGGAGCTAGAGGTAGAGCCTCCTGGAATACGGATAAAGCCTCTGAAAGATGGAACACAGGACTGTTAGGAGTGGGGAATCACAGGATGCAGTGAACTAGAGAAACAACCAGACTTTGACTTCCAAAGACAGGCTACTTTACATAAAAATGTGAGGAAGATATCATGCAAGACAGCTGGTGGGATGTGGCAATCTAAGGTCTATTCATCCACTAGGGGTATCAGGAACCAGGAAAGGACCCAAGGCACAGTAGAGACGCCTTCCTCACAAGGCTCTGAGACAATACAAGGTCAAAAGACAGCAAGGCAAATGGGAAGAACTAGAGAAAGGAAACATTTCACCCTCATCTCTGTGAAAACAAAGTACCTATTTGCAATACACTTCTTTGACTTTCCTTTGTACTTCCATTCCAAATACTCAGCTGCCACCTCCCTAGCCCATACCAAAGTGATGTTGACATTTATTCTTTAAATATTCTTTAGGAATGAAATGGAGAAAGTCAAACTTACCACATTCAAAGAAATTATAAACAGGGCGAACTTTGAGGACACGCTGCATGTACTCGTGAAGGATGCAGACCTCGGATTTCCCGTTGGGGTTAATAACAAACTCTGTGACAAGAAGGACCATCTCAGCAACAGCGTGAGGAGATACCACAAGCTAGTACTCACGGAGCTGGCACCATCTGTATTACTGAATCATTCATTAGGGGCTCACCACCGTGAATGTGGCAGACCTCTGCATTCATAGGATAAACATAAGCTCTAAATTAAGTGCAATTCACTCACAAAGTACACACACTAAACAAATGGAATTAAAACAAACAAACATACTATGTGTGCTGATGTTGACATTTATAAGCCCAATTCACCTTTCTTTGTAGGTGCATCCTGCACGGATAAAGTGATGAGTTTCTGATTGGCTGGTAGGATTGGCCTCTCAGACTCAGCCTGCTTCCGCTTCATCTCACGGTTGAACTGCCGTCGCTCAGCCCAGGTCCTAAATTTTTTCACAGTAACTTGCTCAAAGTCAAAACGCTTCTCCAGGTAGTTTCGAAATTCTTCCAGATCTGTGCAAGATTTACCAGAGAATCCAACTAAATTTTGAAAGCAGGAATCATGTTCCCTTTGTACACAAGATAGTGAAAGGCTACTCGTCAAATAAGCCTGGACCACATGATACCCATTTCCTTTTCCCTGCCCCTTTCAAAGTGTAAAGAAAGTAAGAAATCAAGCCTCTTCCCTCTACCAATTCAAATTATTCTGGCAGGTCCCATGTGGTTAGATTCCTGGGATATCCTTTTATCTTATTTGCAGCAAAAACAAGAACGTGAAAAATGAGAAAAGAAAAAAAAAAAAAAGCTTAAAAGAAAGAAAAAACAAAATGACATAATCTTCAGATCTCTCTCTCCCTTTATCAAAATAAGTACCTGAGGCTGGGATATAACTCAGTTGGTGTACAAGCATGTACACCTTATACATGGTCTAGCATGTACAAGGCCTTTTTGATCACTAGCACCTCAAAAAAAGAAAAGAAAGAAAAAGAAAAGTATCTGACTTCCAATAGCAGCTTCCCAGTACCACTCTGACCTTGTCACTCTCTTCCCTTCCATCCTCCCACTTCTGCAATCACTAACACATCCAGACAGCTCCCTTCCTTTGGACCTTTGTACTTGACCTCTTCCCGGTCCACTTTCCCCTACCTCAGCAACAGTTTTCTCCTCCCCACACCTCTTCCAAGGCACCTCACACTCAACTGAGTTATAGCATAGGCAGTACAGCAATACACGGAGAAACTGAAAACAAAGTCCTCTTTTAAGTGATTCAGCAGGTAGGCTGAAAGAGATGTGCCACCCTAAAGAGAGGTCTATTACTTGAGGGGAAAGAACTAAACTAAAAGATGTGGAGGACAGACTAGAAAACACCAAAAAGTATCTAATAAGCAACTGCAAAATTTAAGAAACATATGGATTGAAGAGTATGGGACTGAAGGTCCATTCTGAAATCATAAGGATAAATTCAAACACCACCACAAGAGCACATTCTACCAAAAAACTAAGAGTTCAGGAAAGATCATATAAGTAACCAGGAGAAAAGGGCTGCTCATCCTATATGGCAGCTTCAACCATATAGATTCTGAAAAACCTGAGCACAGGAACTTGTCAATGCCACACTCAGGCAGGTTCTCTCAAAAGCAGGAAGACAGGCCTTTCCAGTCATGTTGGAGCAGACACACACATAGATGCAACTAGGAACAAGAAACGATGGCTTTTGGTGGGAGAAATAAGATCTCTGGGTAGGGGTGGGATGTAGAACCACCCCTGCAGATGGATTCTAAGTGGAAAGGAAGGAAGAAAATGCCCTAGGAAAACTTACCAACTGACTCATCTTTGCACACCTCAACTTTGGCCTTCACCTGCCCCAGGGCCCCAGGGGCTGCCTCAGCCCCTAGCGGGTCCTTCTCATCTGGTGGCCCGGAGTCTGCGCCCATGGGGTCAGGCTCTTCCAGGGAGAACTCCAGTTCTGTAGATCGGCTCAGGGGCTTGATAGGGGACACCTCCCCACTGGGGGTGAGTTCACTGCTCTGCTCCCGTTCCTCATTGTCCTTCATTTTCTTATAATGCAGACAGGGAATGCTACTCAGAGGAGGGTCATGTTTCTGTGGACAGCGAATTTGCAAGAGGTTACAAGAACAACTCAAAGTCTAAAAACCTGATGCCTTTCACCAGCCTCCATTTGGCTTCAGTACAAAACATTATAGACAGGCACATTTCAGTCATACAAACACCCTTAATTCACAACTGATGCCTCCCCTACCCGTATGCTTCCTGTTCCCAAGAAATAGGGCCTGGACCAGGTGACCACCCGAGACTCTCTATGCAGATACACGGGAACTCCAGAGTTATGAAAAGTCATAATCCAGCCGTCGGGCAGCGGCTCTGTAGGTGGGCGGCCACGACCTGCATGAAAAATGAGAACATATTGCAATTATTTTTAAACACTTAGTACTGTCACCATGGAGCCTCCTGCACATCAAACTTTCTATGTTTGTGTATTTGTATATCTGGGTCTTTCCAGAGAATCTAAGTTCCTATGTCTTGCTCCCTGCTAATTCTAAGACAGCATTTGGTGTAAGGTAGGAACTTATACATGAAGAATTAGTGCATGAGGAGCCTGGAATAAGACTGTGCAAGATAGGAGTTCTAGCCTCAGCTCTCGTCTCCACTTCTGGTGAACACTGTATTTCTTTCCTGCCTGATCAAAAATGGCCACAGGCAACCCAGGGGCCAGGTATGCTTTGCTAATAAATGGCATTATCTGTCAACCAGTATTCCTAGTGACCAGGTGACATGTCATTATAAAATACTACTTTAAATTAATAAATTTTATATTGGACACTATACAGATTTAATGCAATTCCGATCAAAATCTCAATGACATTCCCCATAGAAACAGAAAAAGCAATCATGAAATTCATCTGGAAAAATAAAGAGACCCAGAATAGCTAAAGTAATCCTTAGCAGGAAGAGTGAAGCATGTGGCATCACTATACCAGACCTTAAGTATACTACAGAGAAATAGTAATAAAAACAGGATGGAATTAGCACCAAAACAGATCGGTAGACCAATGGTACAGAATAGAGGACAGAGACTAACCCACAAAATTACAATTATCTTATATTAGACAAAGGCGCATTGGAGAAAAAGATAGCTTCTTCAATAAATGGTGCTGGGAAAACTGGAAATCCATATGCAACAAAATGAAATTAAACCCCTATCTCTCACCATGTACAAAACTCAACTCAAAATGGATCAAGGACCTAGGAGCAAAACCAGAGACCCTGCATCTAATAGAAGAAAAAGTAGGCCCTAATCTCCATCATGTGGGATTAGGTCCCAACTTCATTAATAAGACTCAATTAGGACAAGAATTAAAATCAAGAATCCATAAATGGGATGGACTCAAACTAAAAAGTTTCTACTCAGCAAAAGAAACATTCTGTAAGATGAACAGAGAGCCTACATCTTGGGAGCAAATTTTTACCCCTCACACATCAGATAGAGCATAAACTCTAGGGTATATAAAAAACTCATAAAGCTAAGCACCAAAAAAACAAATAACCCAATCAATAAATGGGCAAAGGACCTGAACAGACACTTCTCAGAAGGTGATATACAATCAATCAACAAATATATGAAAAAATGTTCATCATCACTAGCAATTAGAGAAATGCAAATCAAAACCACTTTAAGATTTCATCTAACTCCAGTCAGAATGGCAACCATTATGAATACAAATAACAATGAGTGTTGAAGAGGATTTGGGGAAAAACGCACACTCATACACTGCTGGTGGGGCTTCAAATTGGTGCAGCCAATATGGAAAGCAACTGGACAATCAGGAATGGAACCACCATTTGACCCAGCTATCCCTCTCCTCGGTCTATACCCAAAGGACTTAAAACAGCATACTATAGGGACACAACCAAATCAATGTTTATAGCAGCACTATTCACAATAGCTAAACTGTGGAACCAACCTAGATGCCCTTCAACAGACGAATGGATAAAAAAAAAATGTGGCATATATACACAATGGAATATTACTCAGCAATAAAAGAGAATAAAATCATGGCATTTGCAGGTAAATGGAGTTAGAGAAAATAATGCAAAGTGAAAGTAGCCAATCCCAAAAAACCAAATGCCAAATGTTTTCTCTGATATAAGAGGCTGATTCATAGTGGGGTAGGGAGAGGGAGCGTGGGAGGAATAGAGGAACTCTAGATAGGGCAGAGGGGTAGGAGGGAAGGGAGCAAGTATGGGGTGAGAAATGATGATGGAATGTGATGGACGTTATTATCCAAAGTACATGTATAAAGACATAAATTGGTGTGAATATATTTTGTATACAACCAGAGATATGTAAAATTGTGCTCTATTTGTGTAATAAGAATTATAATGCATTCTGCTGTCATATATAAATAAAAAATTAATTTAAAAAATTTTATATTGGTGGGGTTTTATTTGTTTTGTTTTTGTTTTTGGTAGCAGAAATTGAACCTAGAGCCACATCCTCAGCCCTTTTTATTTTTTATTTTGAGAGCTTGTTTGGAGGTTCCAGCAGGAGAGCGCAGCTACTTGTATACCCTTGACAAGAACATTCCTCCTCTATCAGGGAAGGTCATCCCCTACAACCAAGCGTGCAACTTCAGGAGAGATGCACATAGAGTAGTGAGGGAGGAAGGGAGCACCCACCTAACCAGCCAGATCAGTCAAATCAACCCTGGCAATCAATGGGGTAACAGATGTTGCAGCCAGATCACCCTCACATCCTTATTTTTTATTTTGAGACAGTTCTAAGTTGTTTAGAGCCTCATTTAGCTGCTGAAGCTGACTTTGAACTTGCAATCCTCCCAAGCCACTGGGATGCCAGGCGTGTGCTACCACAACCAGCTCTATATTGGTTTTAAGACACTACTCCCAGCCCCTTCTTTGCTTTATAGGCCATAAGAAAAAAGTTTTGGGCTACGGTTGTGTCTCAGTGGTAGAGCATTTGCCTAGCATATGTGAGGTACTGGGTTCGATCCTCAGCACCACATAAAAATAAATAAAAGGTATTGTGTTCATCTACAACTAAAAAATAAATAAAGAAAAAATAAAGAAAAAAGTTTCAGAATTTTTTTTTTTAATGTGTGAATGCTAGGGCTCCCCAGAGCCTCACATGCTAGGCAAAAACTCTACCACTGGGGCTGAGGGTGTAGCTCAATGGAGGAGTACTTACCTAGGATGTGTGAGGCACTGGATTCAATCCTCAGCACCGCATAACAACTAAAAAAATTATATTTAAATTTAAAAAAAAAAAAACAAAAAACTCTTATCACCAAACTACATCCCCAGCCCTTTTTTAAGTTTTGAGACCAAGTCTTGCTCAGTTGCCCAGGCTGGGCTTGAATTTGTGATCCTCTTGCCTCAAACCTCCCTATAAAGCAATGTTTTTGCTGGTATTTAAAACAAAATAAAATTTAGAAACTAAAGAAAAAAATGCAGATGAAATCTAAACACTATATATATATATTATGGAAAAAATAACAGCTAGGCATGGTGGCGCATACTTATAATCTCAGCAGTTCAGGAGGCTGAGGAAGGAGAATCACAAGTTCAAAGCCAGCCTCAACAACTTAAGGAAGCCCTCAGCTACTTAGCAAGACCCTGTCTCAAAAATAATAAAAAAAAGGGCTGGGAATGTGGCTCAGTAGTTAAGTGCTCCTAGGTTCAATCCCTGGTACCAAGTAAATAAACATTTTTTTTTTTAAAGAGAGAGTGAGAGAGGGGGAAAGAGAGAGTGAGAGAATTTTTTAATATTTATTTTTTTAGTTTTCGGCGGACACAACATCTTTGTTTGTATGTGGTGCTGAGGATTGAACCTGGGCCGCACGCGTGCCAGGCGAGTGCGCTACCGCTTGAGCCACATCCCCAGCCCCTAAACAAACATTTTTTAAAAGAAAAAAGTATCAATGACTCTCAGGGAAATGTAGTCTCTCAACCAGGCGGACCTGACCCTAGGGCCTATACCTAACACATAGGTCACTATTAGACATGGCTCAGAAGAGTGCTCTGTAGGTTAGAGTACACCCTATGGTCCCTTCTTCCCAGGGTTTGGGTCATGGTGGAGTTTCCTCATACTATCTTTGGGCTAAATCTGGAGAAGCAAACAAGCCAAGAATAATACATAACACAGGTTCCTGGTCACTCATCTATGACAATGAGTAGTCATAACCAGCCCAGATAGCTGAAGACCTCACAACAGCTGTAAGGATTGAGGTCCCTGCCATGGCTCTTGCTAGGCAGTTAGGCAGACCAGGTCTACTGCTGACTATGGGTTGCACAAAATGGACTTAGGTTTAAATGCTCAGAGTAAGCCTGCTGAAACTATAGGAAGAACACGATGCCAACCTTCCAAAATCATCACTCCATGCCCCACATCTCCTCTAGAAGCTGCAGCCTCATGTTCATTACATCTGCAATTACCTATCCTGACATTCCTTCTACTCATCTACCACCAAACAAAAGGTATCTGCTGACTTGTCCCCTAAGTGATCCAAGGAGGGCAGTCACATGCCACCTACCTCTTATTTTCCATCCCAGTCACTCATCACCTTCTGCACCCAGGGTCTCATCCATGTGCCTGAGTACTCATGTATCTCTTTAGCCCTTCTTCTGAGCCCAACATCTCTACCAGGACAATCACAGGTGCCTCTAGGCAAGTACAGACTGAAACCAATCCCAACTCATCCCACACCTGCCCCACTTTAATGACAGAGCCTCACAGCACAATTCTGGGTACCTCTCAACTGTTCTCGTATTAATGATCCTCAAATCCAAGTGCAAGACCCACTGCATGCTCATACAAAACACTACCACATCTCTCCAAGGAAATTCTACCTTTCCCACCTAAAGTACACATGCTATGCTGAGGCCCTAGGAGTCATGCTTTTAAATAGAAATTAGGTAACAATGGCCTACCTTCAGTGGTTTCCCACATAACCTGACACAAAGCTTAAACCATAACCATTGCCTGCCACCTTGCTGAATACCCATCACTGGGCTTCCACATCCTTTGGCTGCCAGTTTTCTTGTCTCCCAGCACACACTGATGCTCCCTCCTCTGCACAATGTCTAAGGCTCTATAATTTCCAAAACACTTAACAACAGAATCTGTACCTGGGTTGTGCAAAGGGTGAGTCCTTGTGTCTAATCTGTTTTCCTTTCATCAGACATGACTGCTATACTCAAACACATGTCTCTACCCAGATTGATGCCTGGTATCAAAGGGCTCTTCAAACATTTTTTGTGAAGGAAACAATGGTACTTCTAATGCCTGGAAACACTACTTTGTGACCCACAAACTTACTTTTCAGCACTGTTTTAATCTTGGTCATCATGGGCTGCACACTTGTTTCTCCATCAGATGGATGATCACTGTCTCCTCCATATTTTTCCTCCATTCGCCTCTTCTTAGGAGCACAAAGGCCTTCTTCCAGCAAAGCATCCACATCATTGTCAAAGTCATCCTGCAAAACAAGGTGTTCAGATCTCACAGCCCCCAGTGCCTGTTCTCCTGCACCACAGGGAAGCTTAACAATATTAGGACAGACACAGAGCAACAGCGCTCATGGGGGCCAAGGTGTGCCCTGATAGTACATGATCATCTGAAAAACAAACAGGATAAAACAAGTGAAACCAACACGCCTGGTCCAGGTGAATACCCTGCCAAGGAGGCTTTTCAGCAGCACCTGCCAAATCAGGTTGGAAAGAGGATACATGGGCAGACGTCAGCCAAACTTTTCAATAAGAAACTTAAAAACCAGGACTCCTTATATCTTTCTTAGGTGCTGCTGAGAAACCTCACATGGGTTTGGCTCCTGTTTTTGTTTTTCATTTTCCTGATTTCAAAAGATACAGCTATTCCCAAACCTCTCTTTGGGTTTTGCTCAGAGCCCTCCAGAGGAGGGGTCGCCAACATACCTCGTAGGAGAAATTCAAGGCTTCTTCATCCACTCTGTCTCTTTGAACGATTGCTTTAGCCGTGAACCCGCCTGCTCCTTCTTCATCTAGCTCCAAATTGTCAGTAAAATCTTCTAACTCATCGAGCACTGCATACTCCACTCTCTTTTCCTGATCCAGCTCATTCTCCTCATCCTTCTTATCCGCACTCTCACCCCCTACGCCTACCCCATTACCAACACTCCCGCCAAAGGGACAAGCATGCATGTCTCCACTGACAGGACTAAGGAGCAGACCACATTCGGTCCGAGTGTCGCGCTCCACTCCTGTGTACAGCACCTTCCTGTCCTTACTCCTGCAGCTCTCGGTAAAGCTCACACTAATCTTTACATCCTTAAGCAACTTAAGGTCAGGGGAGAACTTCCGGACCGCAGGTGCGTGCCGGGCGGTGCGTGGGCTGTGGCCACTACAGTTCGGGTCTATGAGGAGGCGGCCCTTAGAGAAGGATCCTTTGGAGAGAAGAGAAGCTCCGCAGAAGTTGAATGGGTCCTCAGCAGGGGGTTCGGACTGTCCATCACCACCAGAGCCAACGTCCATTACCTCTGCATCACTGGACGTTTGCAGGGGAGGTGGTGGAGACTGTTCACAGGGCAGCACTTGGAAAGGGCAAGCTCGGTTCTCCATCATAGCTTCTCCTGCGGGCTCACGCGGGAGAGGAGAGGGACTCTCATATGTCTCCATATTAAAAGCAGTTAAGACTATTTTAAAAGACCAAAGTTTTAAAACACCTTACACAAATCTATACAGCTAACATGCACAAGTCCGTCGAGACCCAGTGCCGTCCTGCCCGCGCTGTGCACACTGGCTGCTTAGTCAAGCTGGCCACATTGCTCTTTTCATTAATGTAGACAGCTTTTAGAACCACTGCCTCAATTATTGGAAATCACAATGCACTCAGCTTAAAAGACTGACGACTAAGTGAGTCTGTCTTCATGCCAAAGTGGCACCTTTCTTCTTCCACCTGCAAAGAAATTTAAAAATACCGTCACGAAATGACAGAAACCTTTCACTTCCCTGGTATCAAGTTAAGAATCAAGCGCTATTAACAGCATAGTAAAGTACTTAAAATAATACTGCCTATAAGAACCTCTTAGACATCAGAACATACTAACTTCACTATTTTCCTTCAGCACCTAAATTATAATTTCTTAAATTATAATTAAATTTTTTATTGACCACTTTAATTCCTCCTTTAGAAGAACAAAAATAATAAGGCTCAAAAAGGATTTTAAAAACTACAGTAAACTTCACCATAGTGTTCCACTAACTCATCCTATTTAGGTAGATAATCAAGCATGCGGTGGGAGGCCGCCCTTTCTGGAACACACATAAAGTGTGTGGCCTCCCTCAGGCCATCAGAGCGACATCAATCCACTCACCTGCAAGGGCCGGGTCAGTCAAAGGGTGAGCATGAGACCCTCAGTTCAACTCTGCAGCACTAAGGGCCTCAGAGGTATGGTCAGGTGCTCTGCTACCCAGGGACCCCCTCTCCTGGGCCCACAACGTGGCACGTGGACAGGATAGTGATGCAGCGTGCTGAGGTCACCAGAGGTGGCGGCATAGTTCTGTTCCCAGTAGAGGAAAGGGGCGAGTGGCTGTTGGGAAGGGAGCCTGCTAGGATTTCTGGGGAGTTGTAGGAGACAGCAGGAGCCAAGGTACAAAGAGTCCTGGGTGCCACCTGAAGCCTGGCTCCATCCTGGGGGCAATAATGAGCCACCAATGGTGAAGTGACTCTAGTCAGAAAAAAGATTCACAGCTGTGCTAATTATAAACAGCTGTGCCCAGGACAGCCCTCCAGGCCAGAGGACAAAAGTACAAAAGAGGATCTAGATACATCAAGAACAGTGTCAGAACTGACTGTACGTGACCCAATGGGGATAGATAACAAGAGGGAGCTGAAGACAACGAAGGCTTCTCCTTTCCATTCCAGCATCTAGGAAGGGATCTGGAGAAGAGGATGAAGGAAAGCTCCAGGCAGACCTGTCTGACAGGTGCTGAGGCCACAGCTCTGGAGTCCTGACTGGCCCAAATAGCTCTGGTAAGCCAGATCACATTAGCAAGGAAGTAAGTGCCAAAAACCACAGAGGGGGGAAGTACCAGAGAATGAAGACTGTAACTGTAGTATAACTCTAGGAAGCTTCACCACAAAGGAAGCACCATAAAAAAAGGATGACAGGAGGTAGAGAAGACAGGGGTGGAGCATGGGGAAGCAGAAACACCAAGAGCCACAAGAAGAGAGGCCCATCAGAAGCACATGCAAACACACACACACTCAAATGCATTAACATTCCTACACCTTGCATGCACAGAAACATACAGGCATGCACATGCCATGCACACCAGTATAGATATACAAACATGGCCACATCCATGGGTGACAGCTCAATCAGTTGCATGTAACATAACTCATATTCCAAAGACTCCAGGAAGAACAGGAGACAACAGAAATCATCCAATTAAGAAGGGATAGAGTGTGGTAGTTACACTTTGAAAGGGACACAACACAAAGAGTCTTATTTGGGTTAAATTCAACTAAATATTCACTAACCATCTACCGAGGGAGATGCTACCACAAAAAGAGACAAAGTCCCTAGAGCCTGGACACAGTTGTAAGAGCAATGACCACAACACTGTCATTTTATTTCCTAGATCCTAGGATTTTCTAACACTTCCGAATTCAATGGGAATTTAACACAATACCTCCCCAAAGTTGTGTCCATCAAACTGCTTAGGATTCAAGAGGTATGGCACAAAGATAAAGATAGACTGAGAAGAGCAGCAATTGCTAAGGAGCCTACATCCAGATGAGCACAAGGAATATCAAGAAGGTCAGTTTCCTGGCAACCAAGAAAGACCACTGTAGAGGACAGGTCAATATGCTCGGTGCTACAGACCCTGAATTATGAAAAGGTAGGACTGGACCTCACAGAACCTGGCAATTGTGCAGGGAATCTAGGGAGGCAATTCATGATTTGTGGGCAAAAAAAAAAAGCTAAAGGCAAGAAGATCAAGGGAGGTGGGGGTTGGAAATAAATGGTGGTACAGGATGGGGAAGACTGCCAGCATAGAAGCACAAAACAAAGGTCATAATAGGTAGTGAAAGGGACTTTCAAGAAGCACACAGCTTGGAGGAACAAGAAAGCTGCCCAGCCCCAAAGATCAGCAGTGGGCAGTCATGGTAAGCTCCTTACTCTCCTTCTATAAATTTTCTCTATTCACTCAACAAGTATTTGCTGAATGTCTTCCATATAGTACACATGCCATTCTAGATGCTATGAAGACAAAACCCATCCCACAGAGCCACATTTTATCAGGAAAGACATGTAACAACTAAAAAAATCATCTACCCCATCACATGCTAAGAAGTATACAAGCTAAAACAAAGTAAAAGTGTTGGGGAACTGGAGGCAGCTTCCAAAAGGGTGATCAGAGAAAGTCTCACAACCAGTATCCACCTGACAGTAGGAGAAAGGAAGCTAAGGGGGTAACAGAGGTGGAAGGAGGGGACATTCCAGGTGATACCTGGAGGAAAAGCAAAGGACCAGGTGTGGTATGGTCAAATTAGGGCAGTGCACTGATGGGGAGTGAGAGTAGGCCAGGTCAGGAAGACTATGGCTTTTATATTGAGATATGGGCCACTGGATAGGAGGGTCCAAACAATGATATCACATAATCCAAGATAAGCAGTGGCATTCAGCCCTCAGTCAGGCTCTGCTCTAAACACTTCATGCACTACAACTCACATAGCACTGAAAGAGAAAGGTTAAACACACAAAATTCACTCAAGGTCACACAGCTAGGAAATGGTGCAGCTGCTCTGCCATCCAATCAATCTGGTCTGAGTCTGTACTGCCTCACGTTTATACTATCTTACAGTTTTAAAGAATCACTCTGTATCCAGAAAAACTATAGGTAGGTGGCAGTGGGGAACAAAGAGAAGAATTAAGATACCCACTAGGAAATTTGAATAAGACATTTAGTTGAAGTGCTGAGAAATGGCACATTATTGGACACAGAAGGCCTCCTCTGGGACATATGAAGGCATAAGAAAGGAATCAAGGTGACTTTAGAAAAGATCCTCCTCCTTTAGAGGAGGATCATTTGCCTGGTATGGTGGCACCACGCCTGTAATCCCAGCAGCTGGGGAGGCTGAGAAAGGAGGATCGAGATTTCAAAGCCAGCCTCAGCAAAAGCGAGGCACTAAGCAACTCAGTAAGACGCTGTCTCTAAATAAAATAGAAAATAGGGCTGGAGATGTGGCTGAGTGGTGAAGTGCCCTGAGTTCAATCCCCAGTACCAAAAAAAAAAAAAAAAGAAGAAGAAAGAAAGAAAGAAAGAAAAATAAAAGAAAGGTATGAGGAGGATCATTTCGATGTTAATGAAGACTGGAGTTTGGTTTGAACACAGCTACTTGGCATTAAAGTAATGTGATAATAAGAAGAGGCACCTAGAAAGGAGGACAGGGCTGAAGATGGAGACATGGAAGATGTCAAGGAAAGTTGGCATTAAACCCAGGAGGCTGGCCAGGTGTGGTGGCACGCATGGTAATCCCAGCGGCTCAGGAGGCTAAGACAGGAGGATCCTGAGTTCAAAGCCAGCCTCAGCAATGGTGAGGAGCTAAGCAACTCAGTGAGACCCTGCGTCTAAATAAAATAGAAAATAGGGCTGGGGATGTGACTCAGTCGTCTATTCCCCCTGAGTTCAATCCCTGGTACCAAAAAAAAAAAAAAAAAGCCAGGAGGCTGGATGAGATCACATGGGAGGAGCAAGCAACAACAAAAGTCCAAAACTCGGCAATCTAGTCAAAATCAGATTTCCCACCCCAAGATTACCATGAGACTATAAAACCGCCCCTAGAAAGTGCTCCAGACCATGCCTGGCCATGCAGGGCTCTAAGAATGGCTCTCTGGCCTCACTGCTGCCTGAACAGACTCAACACATAGACACAAACCTTGCCTTGTAATTTGGTCTGTGAGCCAGCAACAGACCCATAGCAGGATCCCTAAATTCCTGCACAGCTGTAAGTAAACCCAACACACTTGAAAAGCACCTTTCCCTGGAGTCCACTTGGTGGACTGACATGGAAGCACTAGCTGTAGTGTCCCTGCTGTGGTTGCAGCCCTCCACTCATGCCTCTCCTGCTGCAGCCTCCCACCCGACCCAGAAGCATTATGACCTCATCCATTCCTTTTGTCATCCTCGAATGGGCCTCACATCCTATACTCACAAGCGGTACTCAATCGGCATCCCAGACTAGCCATTCACTCCCTTCAGTGAGTGGAGCCTTGCAAAAACGGTCTGGGCCACTCCCACAACTGGGAGTCCAGTCTGTGGCCAAAAAATGAAGGATCCTTGCCTAGTAATTGTTCTCCAAGAGTCGTCGGCACTAGTTGGAACTGCTATGCATCAGATAACAAGGTACATGCAGGCATGCAAAATGGCAAAATCAAATTCCTACCATGAGCAACCTAAGTCCACTGGATGATACTTGACAGATACCGCTGTCAACAGGTTGCCACTTTCCATTTATTTCTACCATGTTCATTGTTACAATAAAACCACGATCTGATTATCTACATGATAATCCAAGAGCATTTGGTGAAGACTTGATTTCTCAGATTTTCCAAACTCTGTTAAAGCAGATAAGGTCCAGTCCACATCGATTCCGCCTTAGGGCGATGATACGGCTTTGGGGCCACCAGACAAGGAGGCTCTTTACCCAGACATACAGACAAGGAGAGTCTGCGACGCCTGGGCCCGGGCCCCGTATCCCAGCTCTAGCCCCGGCCTTGGCGCCCGCCGCGAGCTCTCGGCTACCTCCGCTGCCCACGGCCATGTTGCTTCACAAAGGCCGGGTCTCCTTATGGGCCCAGCCCGCCTCGAGCCCTCCGCCCCGCCCCGAGCCCGGGCACCAGGCCTCAGCCTGGGAGGAGGAGGGAGAGACAGAAGGGCGCGCCCTCGCGCAGGCCGCAGCGCCCGCCCGTCCACACGCGGGGCGCCCCTAGCGCCCCGCACCTACCTGCGGCGCGGTGGCTTGCCGGAGCCGCCCGCAGCCCAACCACAGCAGAAAGACCCTCACCGCCCCGCCGCCGCCGCCGCCATCTGAAAAGGCCACCCAAACCCTCCGGTCTGCGGGACCCGCCTGCCGCGCCGGCCGAGCGGAGGGCGGGCCTCTGAGGCGCGTGGCCAATCCCCTCGTGCGGTTACCCAGCATTGGAGGAGCCGCGAAGCCGGCTGCAGAGGCTGCCAATCCAAGGCGAGTGGCGCGCGCGGTAGGAGCGCGCGGCCCAATAGTTCGACTGCGCAGGCGGGACCAGGCGCTGAGGCAGAAACTGAGGCTATACTAACGGTCACCGCCCGGGAGGGGCTCCGCGCGGGTAGGGCAGCGGCCGCGGGGAGCGCCGGGAGGGCAAGCGCGGGGGATGCCGGGAGGAAGGGAGCGCGGGAATTATTGCGGGCGAAGGGAACTGGAGCGCCGGGTACTCTGAAACAGAGCAGCCAGCGGGCCGCCTCCGATGTGGGCAGTGTGGAAGAGGCCGTGCACACTTAGGCACCGTACAGTCGCCAATTAAAAGCAAACAATCACTTCTTAAAAATCAAGTAAGCTCAACTGTCTGACAGTTTTCCATTTGCTAATACTATATCTGGAACCGTAAAAAGAGGGAGGATAGAAATAGAGAAGGGACAGCTCTTCCCTAGATTAATACTCCGCCAATATATATAGAAGGGATGATGATTGACCATTGGCAGGCTCTTCTATCATTGTTGCTGGATACGAAAATCAGATGCCAAAAATATGGTATATGAGCGGAAAATGAGAAATAGGTTCTCTTTTCTTGTCCTACTGGGGATCAAACCGAGGGTCGCCGGTTTGCTAGGCAAGTGTTTTACCACTGAGCTGTATCTCCAGCCACAAGGTTTTGTTTTTAATGTTTTTGGTGCTGAGGCTAGAATCGAAAGCCTCTCCTATGCTGAGCCTGCTGTTGTTAACACAGAGCTACACTCCCAGGTTTTTGTTTTTTAACACAGTTGCAAATTTTCTCTCCCCTAGATATTCCAGTAATTACAAGAGGGGAAACAGTAGCTTTGCAGGGAGAAAGAAAATCTGGGAAGGCGCCACCTTAAGCAATTCATCAAGATCACCAGCACCTCCAAATTTAGCATTAGCAAGCTGTACACTTTAAATATGGATGTTGCAGTGTTTATTACTTATACCTCAAAAGAAATGAAGTGGGGAGGGGCTGGGTTTGTGGCTCAGTGGTGGAGTGCTTGCCTTAGCATGTGTAAGGCGCTGGGTTTGATCCTTAGCACCACATAAAAATAAATAAATAAAATAGGGGTATGGTGTCCATCTACAAATAAAGAAATATTGTTTTTAAATGAAGGGGGATAGGAGAAAAAAGCACTAATCAATGAACAGATATATTGTGGGTCTCCTGAAAAGGGGATAGATTCACTAGTAGATATTTCTGCCCAAAAGCAAAACTTGAATGAAGAAAGATCAGACAAACCCCAAATTAGGAGCATTCTGTAAAATTACCAGCAAGCACTTTTTCAAAGTGTTAAGATGATTCAAATCAAAGACTGAGGAGCCATCTTCAATTAAGAGATACAACTAAGTGCAATGTGAAATCCAGATCCTAAATAGGATCTCTTTTGGCTCAGAAAATGAATATAGTGGGATAAGTGGTATAATTCAAATAAAGTCTATTGATTAGTTAATTCTATTCTATTGAAAGATTCTTCACTTGGCCAAACTTTAGTCAGGCTTCTGAACCTTCTCCAAAGCCCATTTGTGTTCTTCCAGTTTTTGCTAAGCACCCTCTTCCCCCAGTTTTTGATATCTGATCAGGATCTTCACCATCCCCCAGGTGATGACTGATCACCTGGCCTGCCTTTAGCAAGAATCCTGTTAGATTGCTGAAATCCCCCTACATCCCTATATTTTCTCTCAGCAATTTTCCATTCAGTGACCCCCTACTCTGCTCCTTAGAGACAAACTTCCACTTGTCCAGGCTATATTCAGAGTTGTATCCTTCCCATTGGAAGATACTACTGTGGTGGTCCCAAACTATGGTGATGATCCTGAATAGTCTTCCTTACCATGATTTAATGAGTATCATTGAATCATCTTTTAACAGTGTCAATGTTAATTTCCTGGTTATAATCATTTTACTGTGGTTTGGTGTTGTGTTAACATTTTAAGAAACTAAATGAAAGATAATGGAATTCTTTACTTTTTAGTTGTTTTATTAAGTTGAAATAATTTTTATGTGAAAAAGGTTAAGGAGCCAGGTGCATGCCTATAATCCTAGCAACTCAGGAGGCTGAAGTAGGAGGATTTCAAGTTCAAAGCCAGGCTCAGCAAATTAGTGAGGCCCTAAGCAACTTAGGGAGACTTTGTCTTTAAAATAAAAATAAATAAATAGGGCTGAGTATGTGGCTCAGTGGTTAAACACTCCTGGGTTCAATCCTCAGTACACAAACACACACACACAAGAAGAAATAAAGAAAGAAAATGGAGGAAGGTGGTATCAAGATGATGAAGTTGGAGCCCTGCTTAGGACTTTCCCTCTCTACCTGCCTCCCTCAGCATCTAGCATCTCATAGCAGGAACCATTCTACTGTGAGGGTCTAGCTGCTGGACTCAGCCAGGGCACACAAGCCTCCCTGTGGCTAGGCCAGCCAAAGCCCTTGGGAACTCTGCACTATCTAGAATGTGACTATTGGGAGATAACGTCTTTCCATATATAATCAAGGTAAATTTAGGCTGGGCCCTAATCCAAAGTGACTGTTGGGGGCAGAACTCAACCCATAACAATAGAATCTACATCTTGGGCTGCCGTTTCCTCAGAAGGTCTAGACTATTGGGTAGGCCGGGGGCAGAGGGGTTCATGACAAGTGTTTAAAAAGCTTTCCCTGGGCAGACCCAGTCTCTAGGACAGAGATGAACAGGGAGTTTCTAGATAGGGAGGCTCTGCATGAGAGCAGAGTACCTGGCTGGGGGGAAATGCTGGCATAGAACATGGGAACAAGACAGAGGAAAACCCACTGAGGCACATGAAGAATGTTGGCAGTGGGGCTGGTTGGGAGCCTTGACTGCCAGACACATGGGTCTTGAGACCTTTGGCCTAGACATGTATTTTGTCACCACTGGAAGCCCCCTTTAAGCCTGGCCTGGCTTAACCACTATTCTTCTGAGTTTAAAGTGAGCCCTGGAGGGCCTCAGACCCAGGGGCATGGAGGAGACAGGAAGAGGGAAGCTGGGCCCCTACTCATTCCCAGATGGACTAGCAATTTGTCATACCCAGGCTGGGATACGCAGTGCAGGTCCACATCCACTCTAAACTCATTGCTCTGAGAAGGCCAAGTCGGGTCAACTCCAAAGGCAAAAGGAAGCATGGAGCTAAGCAATGGATATGTGGGACTTATGCATGGCCAATGCTTGAAACTTTAGCTCCCCAGTGCCATGGCTGAGGCTGACTCTATTTGTCCTCTGGCCCTCAACTCCACCATTTCCATGCCTCTCCCTCCAAGGGCTCCTCCTAATGAATCCCTGGTGTTAGGTGACTCATCCAGTAATCAGCACCTGGGTCCCATATATATGAGTGGGTCTCTTGCACCCTGGCTTCTACCCATAGACAGATAGCCTGACCCAGAGGCCTCCATTACAGTGTTGAGGAGGTTGTGACAAAAGGAGGCAGAAAGAGCCTCATATGGGTATTGGTGCCACCACAGGAGTTCCTGTCACCACCATCACACAAAGGAAGGATCTTGAAACCCATTTACTCACCACAACTTCAAAGCTTTATTATCAACAGCTCACATTCAAGTTCAGGTTCCTGTAAAGTTTGATGTACCAAGAAGGGAGACAGCAAAGGCTAGCTAAGTTCCCTTGCTGAGATGGGCCTTCCCAGAACCCATAACACCCACCTGGGTAAGTAGTGGCCTGAAAGCCCCTGGCATACATACAACCATCCGGCACCATGGACCTGACCATGCAGGACCCTTGGTGCACAAAAGACCACCCAGCATATGTGGGGCCACATCTCTCATTCAAGACTGTCCAATGCATACAGGACTCTCTGGCATATGCAGAACCACTGGATCTCTAATGAGGCTGAGCTTCTATTGTAAAAGTGAGTTTTTCTCTGGTCCTCCTTGTATATGATTCCAAATATGGCCCATATCCTCTCAGGAACAGGTATGGTTGTTGGGAAGTAAAGCACAGTGGTGCCCTATGCACCACTTAAACACCATTTAAGGCACCATTTAAATAAAAGCCTACTCTTGACATTTGACCAGAGCAAAGAGCCATTGGCTACAAGTGTAAGGTAAAAGGTTCTCTTCTGCCTGCTTGGCATGCATATGTGTGTGTATACTCTTGAGTATGTGTTCAAATATGTATACACGTGCAATTTTGTGTGCATGTGTGTGCCTCTGCACATGGGGGTGTGTATGTGTGTGAGCATGTGCCCTACACGTGTATGTGTGCCTTTACATGTGGACAAGGTAGACCCAAGTATAGTCACACACATATGGTACACCTGGTTCTGTCCTAGACCTGGCATCAGAATCTCTCACTCCCCATTGGCATAAAGGCAGACCCTAAGCTGGATACAACACAAGAATAGGTAACAAACAAATTAGACATCTCTGAGAATGTTGGCCAAGTTACGAGCAGTGTAGTATGGTCATGGAAGTTTCCTGTCCACACTGGCCTTCAAGGTAGGGCCTCCCAAGAGCCTGCTGGCCATATCCAGCAGTGGGAGATTAGCTCTGTAACATGAACTCGTAGGTGTTGGTCTCCCAGCAGGAGGGGTCCTTGTTCAGCATGCTGCGCTCGGTGAAGGTCACGTGACCATCTGCGTCCACAAGGATGATGGTGTTGGTTCTGAAAAACAGTGTTCACCCTGTATCCCTAGGCTCCAGTCCTACCTGTCAAAGGCACAGCTGGTGCCAGACCTGAGGCAGGAGGCAGGAAGAGGCAAATTCACCAGGTGTGGGGTCTGTGCTGGGCACTTGGTTCCAGCTTTGTGGTAGGTCACAAATGAGTAGCAATCCCAGTCTTGAGGATACAGAGAAGCTTGTCAGAGGCATCTGGGCCTCTTGACCAAGCCTGCATGCCCAGACTGGGTGAGTCCTGTCACCTCTAGTCTGAAACACCCCCA